TCAGATAGTTTATTTTTGACAAATGAAAGACTTTGCATTGCAATTACTGTGAATTTCCTTTGTAAATGTTTTTTTTTTGTGACTTCTCATATTTAACCTCAAGTGGTTTTGGGTTTCAGTGTGAATGAGTTGCATGATAGTGTTTGTTTCACTTTCTGTTGACGACTTTTAAAAGTGCCCCACGCCTGACTAACTGCAGTGTACACAGTGTAAGGCTCTACTGACTCCTAAGTCAGGTGTGGTCTAGTCTCGCCTCTTTGAAGGTCCATCCTTAAAGAACTACAGGGTCCCAACACTAAAACAATCAATTAATTAACCAATTTTGCAATTAACAAAAACTAATCTACAACCTCGTTGATAATCACTCAACTATTTCCAAAAGTCAAAACTTCTCTGCTTTTTGTTTCTCAACCATTCACTAGGTTTCTTTAATTCATCTATCAGTGCATTAAATTTATTGTTACCGAGATAAAGAATTTAATATCAATTCAATTTCAGTGCTTAACAGGAGGCAGCCCTTGTAAACATAGTTGCAGCAAACAATGCCGTAAGGCTACGTGAAATCAGGGAAGCGGTGATCTTTGCACAAAAAGGTTAATTTGTCACAGCCTATATAGAAAGACAAAGGGCACCGGCTATAGGCTACAATGCCAAGCAATGGTGCACTGATTCACACTGAGTTGCGTATTTTGTCCTTTGTTTTCCCCTGTATAATGACTGACTGAGAGAGCTCCTATACTTGTTTGCAAGTTGTATTGTTTGGAGCCAAAATTTGCTTTTGTTACCTATTTTAAATGTTTTAGCATGGCTGAAGCCTTTTGCAAATGAAATGTGTCATTTTACCATCAGTAACACTGTTTAAACAAATTTGTTAGCTGTTTTGAAAATGTAGAGTTTCAATTGATAGCTACTTCAAAGCAACCCGGTAAAACCGCAAGCTGAACCACGCCTAAAGAGAGAGGACTAAATCAATCAATCAATTAACCATGATCCTTGAATGATCAGCGTCCAAAACATGAGAGAACACAATAAAACATAAA